GCCAGCCGCTCAGGGCCCCCCCCCCGCTCCCCGGGATGCTGGAGGGGCCAGATCCTGCCCCTCACGGCTTCGGGGTGCTGAGACTCCAACGGGGCCGGAGACCCGATGCGACGGGGACGGGCGCGGGGACCCGCCGCCTGCGCTGCCGCTGCTCCCGAATTATTCAGCCGGGGCCGGGGCGGGGGAAATTGGGGGGGCGATCGATGCCCCGAGCGCAGCCTCAGGGTGCTCGGGTGGATGGACCCCCCCGGCCGGGCCCCCCCTCCCCGGGCCGTGCCCGCCGCCTCCCCCGCGCCCGCTTGCCGCTGAGCTGGCAAACGCCCACCCGCCGCATGCCAGGGCAGCCACCGGCTGCGGTCACCGTCCCCAGCCCCTGTGTCCCCCGCAGATCCCAGCCCCTGTGGTCCCCGTGGCACCTGTGAGCCCCCCAGAGGGGATCGGGCTGCTGGCGGGGGTCTCAGCAACAGGGACCCCTGGAGCCGGCAGGTCTTGGGGCGCTGTCACCCGCGCCTCCCCACCCGCTCACGAGGGCCCAGCCGCCCTCCTCGTCCCCGATGCCCTGGCATGCCACCGCCTGTCCCCGTCCCCCCGCCAGGCCGGTGGCGCTGGCCGAAGCCTCCCGGCCGCGGCAGCCGCCCTCTCCACATTCTTGGCGGCGGGAGGGTTATTTTCGCTCCCCGGTGCCCCAGCTCCCAGGCAGGTGTTTACAGAGCCGCCGGCACCGCTCTGGGCTCTGCCCCACCAGCACCGCACCAGTGTCCCGCTGCCCGTCCCCTCCGCTCCCCGGCGGGTCTTGGGGATGGGCTCAGCCCCATGGGTTCCTTACCCGCTCCCTTGGCCCTGGCACCCCGGGCAGTGCCCGGTGCCCTGGCGCAGGGTGCACTCCTGTGCCTCCGTCTGGCTCCCTCCTTTTTTGGGCATGTTGCTGCAGGGTTATTTTGAGTGAATTCCAGTTTATTTTTACCGGCTCTGCCTCTCCGCCACCCCCCGGGGCTCCCTCGCGTCCTGAGGCCACCGTCCCCCAGGGCAGAGGGGCTGGGGGTGGCCGCAGGTGCCCCATGGCCACCAAAGAGCCACTGGCGGCGCGGCACTCATCCGACAGAGGAGCGAGCCCCGTCCCCTCGGGGACCCTGGGGAGGGCTGTGCAGGGTGGGCGTCTGGGTGGGGGTCAGGGTGCCCCCAACCCTGCTGCACCAAGGGGGACAGGGCAGGGAGTGGGCAGGAGTGGGGGGGTCTGGGTGTGCGTCACCTCCTGCGCCCTGTCCCCTGCTCACACGTGCACCGAGCTGTGGCTGAGGCCTGCAAACGGCCGCGCCAGGGCTGCAGCTGCTCAGCCGGGCGGGCTGGCACCGTGCTGGACAATGCACCGCGCTGGCACGGCCAACGGCGTGAAATCGGTGCGGGGGTGTGGGGACAGCTGCGTGGGGACAGGGATGCTCCCAGTGGGTGCCGTGGGGGGACACCGGCTGTGCAAACCTGGCAGCGCGTCTGTGCAAACCCAGCATCGCACGTGCCCGCTTGTGCACGGCTGGGGCTTGTGGGGAGGGGGCCCGTGCCCTGACGGGGGGCTCCTTGCCATGGCAGGCTGCTGGTGGGGGCCCCCCAAGCGCCGGCGCTGCCCAGCCAAGGTGCCAACCGGACCGGGGGGCTCTTCGCCTGCCCGCTGACCCCCGAGCTCTCCGACTGCTGGCGGGTGCCCATCGACGAAGGAGGTGAGCTGCGCAGCTGGGGGGGTGCTCAGTCTGCAGGGGGGCCACCCCCTGGCTCCCCAACCCCAGGAGTCCCGGCAGGGGCTGACACTGCCCGTCCCCACCAGTGGACCTGCAGCGGGAGAGCAAGGAGAACCAGTGGCTGGGGGTGAGCGTGAAAAGCCAAGGTGCCGGCGGCAAGATTGTGGTGAGCACCGGAGAGGGGGAGAACCGGCAGCAAGGGCTGCAGGGGGGGGGGGGGGCCCCCGCCCCCCCGTGCACCCCCCCCCCCCCCCGCGCACAGACCTGCGCTCACCTGTACGAGTCACGGCACCGGGTGCATCAGCCCCTGGAGACACGGGACGTGATCGGGCGCTGCTTCGTGCTGAGCCAAGACCTGCGGGTGCAGGACGAGCTGGACGGGGGCGAGTGGAAGTTTTGTGAGGGGCGGCCGCAGGGCCACGACCGCTTCGGCTTCTGCCAGCAGGGCCTGGCCGCAGCCTTCAGCCCCGACCACCATTACATCCTCTTCGGTGCCCCTGGCACCTACAACTGGAAGGGTGAGGGCTGGGGGGGCGGCTGGGCCACCCCCAGACCCCGGGCTGAGTGAGGGTGCAGGAGCGGGGTGGTGTGCGGTTGGTCGGGTGCATGTGGGTGCGCGTTCCTGCCTGGGCAGGCATGCAAGGTGTGCACATGCGTGTGCGATGGGTGTGCAAGCTGTGGGTGTGAGCATACGAGTGCCTGGGTGCTGCATGCGAGCGTGGTCTAGGGGCGAGCGTGTGGCCGTGTGCGTGCTGTGGGTGTGAGCAAGTGTGGGTGTGTGCACAGTGTATGTGTGAGCATGTGTGGGTGTGAGCACAGACGTGTGTGAGAGAGAGCACGCTACAGGTGTGAGCACAGGTGTGTGTTTGTGCTGTGGGAGTGAGCAGGTGTGTGTGCACGCTGTATGTGTGAGCATATGGGTGTGTGCATGCTGTATGAGTGTGCAGGTGTGGGTGGGTGTGCAAACGGGTGTGCGTATGCAAGTGTGCGTGCAGGCATGTGCACAGACATGCATCATGTGTGAGCATGCTGTGGGTGTGAGCACACCACAGGTGTGTGTTCATGCTGTGTGTGCATGTGTGGGTTGGGGCACACGTGCACGCACACCACAGCCACGTGTCTGTGTGTCGGGATGCCAAGGCCAGGTCCAGGTCCGCCCGGTGAGCGCAGTGCCGTGGGGCAGCTCCAGTGCCCCTTTGTCCCCAGGCAGCAGGAGGGTCCCCAGTTGGGTGGTGGTGGGGGGTCCCCCCCCCGGCCCCCCTCACCCCTCCTCGGTTCGGCAGGGAACCTGCGCGTGGAGCTGCTTAACCAGAGCTCCCTCGACCTGCTCCGCTACGACGACGGGCCCTACGAAGCCGGGGGCGAGAAGGACCAGGACCCCTCGCTCATCCCCGTGCCCGCCAACAGCTACTTCGGTACGGGCACGGCGGAGCCAGGGCACGGCACGACGGCACAGCACCGGGGGACCCCCACATCGCTGCCGTGGGACCCCCGCTCGTCCCAGCCGCCTGGCTCCAGCCTGCCCCGGCCACGATGCCCACCCTGACGCCCCTCTCTCTTTCTCTCCCGCCCGGCTGCGGCGCAGGGCTGCTTTTTGTGACAAACATTGATAGCTCAGACCCCGACCAGCTGGTCTACAAAACCCCCGAGCCCAACGAGAAGGTGCCCGGCGCGGCCGGCGACGTGGCCCAGAATAGCTACTTGGGTTCGTAAACGCCGGCACCGACAGCGTCCCTGTGTGCCACCCTCCCCGGAGCCGTGTCCTGTGGTGTGTCCCCCCCCGTGTCTGTGGAAGGGAGAGGAAAGGAGAGCTCCCGCAGCCTCCACCGGGCCCTGTGAGCACACGTGTGGACACGCGTGTCCACACGCACTGAGCACACCTCCATCCGCACCTCCCCGTGCACGCAACATCACCCCCCCATCTTGCACGCACGCACCAAGCACACCCCTCCTTTGCACACCCCCCCGCATGCGTGCCCCCCCTTCCTCGTGCACACCCCCTTGAACACCCAGCCGTGCACACGTGTGGCTGCACACCCTCCCCGCCCGCCGCACGCTCTCACCCCTCTGGGGTCCATCTCCTGTGGGCACACGCCTGTGGCTGTCACCCCCCCCAGGGTGGGGGTCCCAAACCCCTCCAAGCCCCCATCCCTGTCCTTGTCCTTGTCCTGTGTCCCGTCGCTGTGCCGGGGCTGCAGCGGGGGCACCGCCAGGCTGGGGGGGGGGGCATGGGCAGAGGCCGGGGGGGGCACAGAGCCTGGCGTAGCCCCCCAGCACCCCACTGTCCCCGTGCTGTTCCCTCCGGAGATGTTTCTGCATGGGGGGGTTGCACGGTTCCCGCGGGGGGAGACAGCGGCCGTAGCCAGCTGGAGCGTGGCTGGGGGGTGCCGGGGGGGCTGTACACTGCAACCGCTGCATGTAGGGAAGGGACTCCCGACCCCCCACTGTGGAGGGGGCTCTGCTGCTCTCTCCAGCTGGGGGGGTGGGTTCCAGCCCCCATCTGGCTCTGCTCCAGGTCTTGCTGCTCTGGCCCCAAAATCTTCTTTTCTCTCCCCAAAATCTTCCCTTCTGGCAATGCAGGGAGGGGCTGGTCCTTGCTCACCCTGGCAGCCTCTGCTCCCCCTTGCTCCAGAGCCGGGGAGGGGACCCCGCAGCCCTCCCCCCCCCCCCAGCTACAGCCGCTGTGCCCCAGGGAGCGCAGAGCAGGGAAACTGAGGCACGAGCATAGCCCCCCCACCACCATTCCCACGCCAAAGCACGAGGGTCCCCAATGGGAGACCTGGCCACGCAGGGCTGAGCAGAGAGAGAGAGACGGACAGACGGACGGGCAGATGGCGGGTGGGGGGGCCGGGGGCCAGGCAGGCACCGACGCCTGCCCCCCCCGCTACCTCCGCAGGCTTTTCGGTGGACTCGGGCGCGGGGCTGACGCGGAGGAGGGAACTCAGCTTCGTCACTGGAGCCCCCCGTGCCAACCACACCGGGGCCGTGGTCATCCTGCGCCGCGACAGTGCCAACCGCCTGGTGCCCGAGGCCGTGCTGCCCGGCCAGCAGCTCACCTCCGCCTTCGGCTACGCTGTCGCCGTGCTCGACCTCAACAGCGATGGGTGAGTTTGGGGGGACCCTCCATGCCCGTGGCAGCTCAGCACCCCCCACACTCCCCCAGTCTCCATGCCGGGGTATTGCCCTAGCTCGGTGCACCGGGACGGCTTGCCGTGGCCGGGAGGGTGATGGAGCCGCTGTCCTTGCAGCTGGATGGACCTGGTGGTGGGGGCCCCCCACTTTTTTGAGCGCAAGGAGGAGATCGGGGGGGCTGCCTACGTCTACATCAACCCGGCAGGGCGCTGGGACTCGGCCACCCCCCTCCGCCTCAATGGCACCTGCGGCTCCATGTTCGGCATCGCCCTCAGCGCTGCTGGGGACCTCAACCAGGACGGCTTTGAGGGTGAGGGGCTCTGGGGGGGGGCTCTGGGGTCCCGATGGGCTGGAACACAGTCTGCATCCTGCCGGGGGGGAGATGGTGGGGGCTGCATCCCATAGAGGGTCCTGGGAGGGTCTCAGCCCCCCCCACTACCTGTCCTTGCCCCCCCAGACCTGGCTGTGGGAGCCCCCTTCGACGGTGCCGGCAAAGTCTACATCTACCATGGCAGCAACCTTGGCATCGTGGCAAAGCCGGCACAGGTGAGGGGGTGCGGGGCCTGGGGGTGCATTGCCCACTGCCCCTCTCCCACCGGTTCCCAGTGTCACGGGTGCCTTGTCCCCAGGTCCTGGACGGGGAGGGTGTGGGAGTGACGGCCTTCGGGTACTCACTCTCGGGGGGGCTGGACGTGGATGGGAACCTCTACCCTGACCTGCTCGTCGGCTCCCTCTCCGACACTGTCGTGCTGTACAGGTGAGTGCCCACCACAGGCAGCCCAACTCCCTGTGCTGCCTCCATCCCCAAGCATCCCCCTCCCCAGGCATCCCTATCCCTGAGCATCCCTATCCCAGAGCATCCCCCTCCCCGAGCATCCCTATCCCTGGGCATCCCCATCCCTGAGCACCCCCCATCGCAGGGCTCCCCTCAAACCTCCCAGCCCCCTCAGCCAGGGGGTCTCTGGTCCCTGGGCCCAGCCAGAGATCCCATGCAAGGGGTGAGTGCCGGGTCTGCGCAAGGCTTGGGGGGGGGGCCACCCTGGCACCCCCCATTTCTCCCCTGGCAGGGCCCGGCCAGTCATCCATGTCTCCAGGAACGTCTCCCTTCTCCCCCCCAACATCGATCTGGAGCGGAGCAACTGCCAGCACCAGGAGGGCGTCTGGTGGGTGCCACCCGCTTCCCCCCCCCAGGCACATAGCCGGGGCACAGCCAGGGGTGGGTGCCGCCCGTCTCACCCCGTGCCCCCGCAGCGTGGATGTCCGAGCCTGCTTCAGCTACACGGCCAGTCCCGCCAGCTACAGCCCCCGCCTCGGTGAGCGTGGTGGGGACAGGCAGTGGGGTGCAGGGACCTTGGGATGCACCACAGCGGGGGGACAGGAGCCCCCCAGGGTGGGAGGCAAGGGACGCCCCGGCATCGCACCCGTCCCTCTCCCTCCCAGTGCTGGAGTACGTGTTCGATGCTGACACAGACCGCCAGCGCCTGGGACAGGCCCCCCGCGTCTCCTTCCTTGGCCGCCGTCCCTCGGATCCTGAGCATCAGTTCTCCGACACAGTGGAGCTGCCCCGGCAGCACGCCCGTGCCTGCGTCAAAGCCACCTTCCAGCTCCAGGTGGGTCCCCATCCTCACCCTCATCCCCATCCCAATCTCCATCCTCATTCCCATCCTAATCCTTATCCCCATCCTCATCCCCATCCTTGTCCTCATCACCATCCTCATCCTCATCCCCATCCCCATCCCCATCCTCATCCTCATCCTCATCCTCATCACCATCCTCATCCCCATCCCCATCCCCATCCTCATCCTCATCTTCATCCCTGTCCTCATTCCCCATCCCCATCCTCATCCCTGTTTCCCTCCCTGCCCTCATCCTCCTCCCCATCCCCACCTTCATCCCTGTCCCCCCCCTCACCCTCACCCACCCTGCCCACAGGACAGCATCCGTGACAAGCTGCGCCCCATCGCCGTCACCCTCGCCTACGGCATCCAGGGAGCCGGGGCGATGCGGCAGAGCCGGGGGGCCACCCTGCCACCCCTGTTGCCCGTGCTCAGCCCCCAGCAGCCCAGCAGCCACCGCACCGAGGTAGGGACCCGGCCGCGTTCCATGACCCCCTCCCCACCTCCCCAGGGGTCTGGGGTGCACCGTCCCGCACGGGGGCTGCCTGGAGTGTCCCTGTCCCCCCCCGTGTTCCCCCCCAGGTGCATTTCCTGAAGCAAGGCTGCGGGGACGACAAGATCTGCCAGAGCAACCTCCAGCTCCGCTTCCAGTTCTGCGCCCGCCTGGGGGACGCTGATTTCGTGCCCTTGCCCAAGTGAGGGGGGGGTCCCCAACCCGTGGGGTATTGGGGACATCCCAGGGTGGGGTGGGGGGCTCACAGCCGCTCTGCCCCCAGGGGCGCGGATGGCACCGCCATCTTCGCCATGAGCGACCAGAAGGACGTGGCCCTGGAGATCCACGTCACCAACCTGCCCTCGGACCCGGCGGAGCCGCAGCGGGACGGGGATGATGCCCACGAGGCCATGCTCACCGCCACGTTCCCCCCGGAGCTGCCCTACTCTGCCCTGCGCCCCTATGATGGCCGGCCGTCCTTGGTGCGGTGGGGGTCTGGGGGGGGGAGAGTGAGGTTGGGGTGCTCTGGGGGTGGTACCGAGGGTGCTGGGGGCAGAGGGTGGTCCTGGGGTTGCTGGGGATGTGGGATGGGATCAGATCTGGGGATGCAGAGGGATGGGGATAGTCCCGGGGTTGCTGGGGATGGAGAAGGATGGGGACGGTCCTCAGGATGCAGAAGGATGAGGATGGTCCTAGGGAGCAGAGGGATGGGGATGGTCCTGGGTGTGCTGGGGGCGGAGGGTTGGGGATGGTCCTCGGGATGCAGAAGGATGAGGATGGTCCTAGGGAAGCAGAGGGATGGGGCTGGTGCCAGGGGTGCAGGAAAGGATTAGTCCCAGGGTGCAGCAAGCTGGGGGGGACCCCCAGCAGCAGGGTCTCAGCTCTCTGCCCCCCCAGGACAAACCGGTGGTGTGCCTTGCCAACCAGAATGGTTCGCAGGTGGAGTGCGAGCTGGGGAACCCCATGAAACGTGGAGCTCAGGTGGGTGCAGCTCCCCGCTCCCCCCAGCCCCCAGTCCCTGGTCCCGGCCCCAGCCCTCACCCCTCTGCCCCCAGGTGCGGTTCTTCCTCATCCTCAGCACCCTGGGCATCACCATCCAGACCACGGACCTGGCGGTGGAGCTTGCCCTGTCCACGTGAGCCCTGGGGGGGTCCAGGACCTTCACGGCAGAGCCCCACACTTGGCTCTGTGTGTCTGCAGTGGGGGTTCGGGGTGATGCCCCCCCTGATTCCTCCCTGCCTTGTCCCCAGGATCAGCGAGCAGCCCGGGCTGGAGCCAGTGGTGGCTCGCGCCCGCGTGGTCATCGAGCTGCCACTCTCCGTGACGGGGTGAGTGAGGGCGGGAAGGGGGGGGGTCCGGGACCACCACCACCCCCCCCAAGGGCTGCCCTGACCCCCATCTGTCCCCACAGTGTGGCCGTACCGCCCCGGCTCTTCTTCGGCGGGGTGGTGCGGGGGGAGAGCGCCGTGCGGCGGGAGAGCCAGGTGGGCAGCGCCGTGCGCTTCGAAGTCACGGTGAGTCACCCCGACGCCTGGCTCCCGCAGCAAGGGGACGGGGGGCACGCGGGACACCGGGGGTCTCAGCCCTGCTGCTCCCCTTCCTGCCCTATGCTGCTGGATGGGGGGGTGGCTGTGGTGTGTGGGGGGGTCTGTGCCGCCCCGCTCACGCCGCCGTTCGCCCCCACTCCACCCCGGCAGGTCTCCAACCGGGGCCAGTCGCTGAAGACGCTGGGCTCAGCCTTCCTCACCCTCCTCTGGCCCCACGAGATCAGCAATGGGAAATGGCTGCTCTACCCTCTGCACCTGGAACTGGTGGCTTCCCCGGGGCAGCGGGCGGCCTGCAGCCCCGCCGCCAACCCGCTGCGCCTGGCCCTGGTACCGCCGTGGGAGGGGGGCACGGGGATGGATCCATGGCCGGGGGGGGTCCTTGCCGCCCCCCCTTCATGCCCATCCTTCCCCGCTCCAGGAGCCACCGGGGGAGGCTGACAGTGCTGAGGCACCCACTCCAGGGTCCTGGTGGGTGCCGGCACCTGCGGAGAGGAGGAAGAATGTCACGCTGGTGAGTGGGGCTGGGGGGCACCCGCTTCTGGGGGGCACCCGCTCCTGGGGTGCAGCCGATTCTGGGGTGCACCCAGTCCGGGGGTACCCCTGCTCCTGGGGTACCCATGATCCTGATGAGCACCCACTCCTGGGGTACCCCTGCTCCTGGGGAGCACCCACTCCTGGGGTGCCGCTGTGCATGGGGTGCACCCAGTCCGGGGGTACCCCTGCTCCTGGGGTGCAGCAGATTCTGGGGTGCACCCAGTCCGGGGGTACCCCTGCTCCTGGGGTACCCATGATCCTGATGAGCACCCACTCCTGGGGTACCCCTGCTCCTGGGGTACCCCTGCTCCTGGGGAGCACCCACTCCTGGGGTGCCGCTGTGCATGGGGTGCACCAGCAGCTGGAGTATACCCGCTCCTGGGGTGCACCTATTCCGGCACACCTAATCTTGGGGTGCCCTGGCTGGTGGTGGGGTGCTTGGCCGGGCTGATCCCCCCATCCCGTCCCATCCCGCAGGACTGTGCCCAGGGCACTGCGCGCTGCCTGGCCTTCCGCTGCCCGCTGTACAGCTTCGAGCGCGCTGCCGTGCTGACGGCCCGCGGGCGCCTCTGGAACAGCACCTTCCTGGAGGTAGGAGGGGATGTGGACGGGCCTCCCCAGGACGGGGATGGGTCCCCCCCCGGGCTGCGGAGGGGGGTCAGCCCATCCTGTGCCCCCCCACCACAGGAGTACCTGGCCGTCACCTCGGTGGAGCTGATCGTGCGTGCCAGCGTCTCGGTGACCTCCTCCATCAAGAACCTGGTGCTGAAGGATGCCTCCACGCAGGTCT